GGTTTTTGCCAAAACTAGAAGCAAATAGGCTGTCTTCAGTTTGTTAATTGAATATCTTCATATGATTCGTCTCAGCAAAATGGGGCATTAGCATTCAAATTTATCGTTTCGCTTTTGTGAATTATGTTCAATAATTTTAAAGAATTTCAGTCTAGTTTTTATAGGATTTTGCTTTAATATTAATTTTTTAATGAAGTAGGCGGATTTGGCATTTTTATGATGCGAATTCAAGCACTTGGCTACATGGAAATAGATATCTAAACTTTTCAGTATTAGAGAGGATAATTAATCTAGATACTGAAAGCTCCGCTCATATGATATGCTCTAAAGAGTGCTTTGTTTAAAAATAAAGAAGTTAGTTTTTCTCGAGTACTTCCGCTTTTCTCAGTTCGAAGAACGATCAGACGAATCGGCGAGTGGTTCGATTCTCACACAACCAACACCGACGGCGCATACTTGGCTTGGAAAGAAGGCGCGTCAGCAACAGCAGGTGGGTGATTCGGTTGAGATATTTTTTCTGTTTGTTCTCCATATTTGTTCTACCGTTGATATCGTTTGCTATTTCTGCATTCTTTCGCTTCCACAATGCTCTTACTTCTGTTACTTTTTTCTGCTTCCAATAGACGAAGTACGTGCTGTTCATAACACTTCGATTAGCATATGGTTCTTATTTCTCTAAACCAATTTGAAAGTTCAACTCGTTGTCAATATCGTTCAAGCAATAGACAACAAATTCAACTCTTTTCATAGTGATCACCGTCTCATCTATGTCTGTGCTTTTTGCTAGGAGACGTAGCTTCCAATTACAGTCTCAGAATTATTCGCCATAGTATCATATCTCAGTAGATCCATGATTCATCGATCTAACTTATCACAGTCCACTGCGTTATTTTTCTTTAGGGAAAAGTTGCACTGGCAGTGTGCGATGGCATATGATTTATGAAGCTGTATATCATGCGATCATGTCACCACTTTTCTGATCTAAATGTGATGCAGACAGAAAGAATGCAGTACCGATGTGGCCCAAGCATATGTACAGCCGTCTGTAATTAGAAACTCACGGAATGCTTTTATTGTTTAACAAGGAGAGCGACAAGCTGTTGAAAGAAAATAGCTACATTATTTAATTTTGTGACCCTTCTGGTTTAGAGGAAATAACTCTTTTGCTTTAAAATATAAAATTGTGGATGTTTATGAAAATCTTTGAGATAACATGTTAGTGTGCTATCAAAAAGTCATGTAAGCTTCGCTTTTCGTGAGCTATCCGGAATATTTTAGTGCCACATAGACACTCACTACAAACAGATTATGTGTATTAGTCATGATAACCTCAAATTATGATCTAATGCGGCCACGATGGTTC